GAAGGACTCTTTTAGTGCAGAAGAGAATAGGAGGAAGTTCAGGTGGAAGCAAAAGGGCAGAGAAAGTGAAGTATTGTGTTTAGTCCGTTTTCTAGCAGAAGCAAACAGAGGCAAGTCCAGAGAACCACAGCAATAGAAATTGACCCATTCTTCTAGGTACAGAAGGAAGTTCAGATAGAAACATGGCCATAGAAATTATGGGGATTTTTTTAAGCTACAGAACAAAATGTAAGAAAGTCCAACTAAGAAAAAATGTTTACCTGCTGAAGGGAACAGAAGGCTCTCCAGAGAGAAAGGCAGCCACAGAAATGGAAGCATCCTGAGTAGGGGAGGGTGGGAGGGAGGGAGAGAATCTGGAACTCAACATTTTTAAAAGAATGCTTAAAAACAATTAAATAATAAAAAGCAGAAATGGAAGCATTCTTTAGGTACAGAATGGAAAAGAAGGAAGTCCAGATAGAAACACAGACAGAGAAACTGAGGGGTTTTGTTTTGTTTTGTTTTGTTTTGTTTTTTGCATTTAGAAGTCCAGACAGAAATGCTGCTGTGGAAATTGAAGCAATCTTTTTCAGATACAGAAGGTAAGTAAAAGAAAGCAGTCCAGATAGGAACTCAGCCATCAAAAATGAGGTTTATTTTTTTGTTTTGTTTTTTCTTTAGATATGGAAAGGAAATGAAAAAATCCAGACTGGGAAACAATCATAAATTCCTTTAAGTCCAGAAGAGAACAGGAGGTTCCTGCTGGAAGCAGAGATAGAAACTGAGGCATTTTTTAATGGACAGAAGGGAACAGAAGGAAATCTAGACAGAAACATAGCTGTAGAAATTGCAGCATTGTTAGGTAGGGATGGGAACAGAAGAATGTCCAGATTAAAAGACAACCATAAAATTTGAAAAAAAAATTAGCTACAGATGGGAACAGAGAGAAATACAGTCATGCAAAGGGAAGTATTTTAAGTACAGAAGGAAAGGCAGATGGAAACATGGTAGAAATTGAGGGAAAGTTTTTAAGCTATAGAACAAAATGTAACAAAGTTCAATTAAAAACACAGCTATAGAAATTGAAACTTTTTTATGTATAGAAGGGAACAGAAGAATGTCCAGAGAGAAATACAGCTACAGAAATGGAAACATTCTTTTAGATACAAAAAGGAAGAAAAGGAAGTCCCAATAGAAACATAGACATAGAAATTGAGGGGTTTTTTTAAGGTTTAGAAAGGAATGGAAGGAAATCCAATTAAAAACAATACCAATGAAACTGAAGCACTCTTTTACTACAGAAGGAAGTTCAGGTAGAAACAGAGCTATAGAAAATGAGGCATTTTTTTTTCAGCTACAGAATGAAACACGAAAGTCCAATTAGAAACAGCTATAAAAACAGTAATATTCTTTTGGAAAAAGAAAGGAATAAAATTTAGTTTAACTAGGAACACAGCCATAGAAAGCAAAGGATATATATATGTATATAAAATGTGTAGAAGGGACATTTATTTTAAAGTACCAAAGGGAACAAAAGGAAGTCGTGATAGAAACAGTTTTGAAGGATAAATGACCTTATCATTTGGGCATTGGAGATTGTGAAGGGAAAGCCTTGGCACTTTCACTCTCCAAACAATAGATTTGCTGACTCCTCAGTCTAGAGGCTCCTCTAGAGGAGTACCCTGGATGGGAAGTGAGAACGTAGTCCTAGCATAAATGACCAGTTGCTGGGCTATGTGAGGGCCCATGGGATGGCAAAAAGAATAGAGAACAGTGCCTCTAAAAATGGGGGCCTGTGAGAGCTCTCAGAGGCCAATGTGCAGTGAGCACAGGCAGGTTTGTCCCTCTCTGAGATGGGGCTCTGACCCTCTAGCTTTTATTTACAGTCTGGGCTCAGAATCCTCTGGTTTCCAAATCAATCCAGTTCATTTCACAAGCAGGTCTAAGTATCTACTCCCAGCAGAGCCCAGAGCTACAGTGATCAGCTAAGTCAGGCTCCTGCCCTCAGGAAATTGCCATCCTCAAGGAATCCAATAAGAAAAACAAAAATTTCCCTAAAGGTCACTCACCAGAAATATCTGGGCTCTTGGAATTCTCCATTGGGCTCCTGAGAAAGGCTAAACCTCAGTTCTCCTCTGGGCCTTCAGCCATATGTATCTAGGAAGGTCTTGGTTACAGTGTCTGAATGCTTCAGAAAGAAAACTGAGCCTGTTCTCAGCCCAAGCTCCTCCCCAGTCATCCAGGTACAGCCCAGGTGTGGTCCACTGATATTCAGAGTGAGCCCAGGAACATAGGGGATGCGCTCAGACTTTGGCTAGGGTGGGGGTGTGGTTAGTCTATACAGTTTCCCAAAGGTCTCCTCCATTAGAATATACTGTACTGGAGGGCAGGTACTTTTTTTGTGGTTATTGTTATTGTTTCTGACTGAGGTTTGAAGTTGAGTGGGAGGATGGGAGACTTGCTTTGTAATTCTAGTTTGAGCTGAGGATCTGGGCCTCAGTAAACATTTTATAAATGTTTATTGCCTCATGACTGCCAGCCCCCCTCACATCCACCACAGACCTAGATTCTAATTTCTACTGGGATCTCACTCAGAACTGAGGTCATCCTCCAAACTTTTTAACCCTTCTTAGTATCTTCTTTAGATTCAAGCGAAGCCATATCCTGCTTCTTCCAGGGACTAATCATTTCTATCCCACAGCTCAGAGATTTAGAGTTTAGTGAAGATAACTTACATCAATCCACACTTTCATCAAGGAAGAAAGTGAGGCCAAGTCAAGAAGCCATATGCGCAAAGTTGATTTGTTTTTTTTTTAAGTCCTAAATGGAGAGCTGGGATTTTGAATCCAGATCCTCATACTCTGCATGGAGAAGTCACAAGAAAGGACTTCAGATACTGCACTGGTTGAACCATACACTTGACCTTAGCCCCCACAGTAATTCAACATCAAATTTGCTTAGGCACCAAACCATCCTTTGGGTTTTTTTTTTTATCAATTTCCCCAACCTAAGGTGTGCTATTAAATGTTTAACAACCTACTCTCAAAAAAAAGATATGGGAGCAGCTAGGTGGCTCAGTGGATAGAGCACCAGCCTGGGATTCAGGAGGACCTGAGTTCAAATCTGGTCTCAGACACATAACACTTACTAGCTGTGTGACCATGGGCAAGTCACTTAACCCCATTGCATAGCCCCCTTCCCCCCAAAAAATATGTACACTTGAAACACTCAACTTTAATTTCTGTGATGAACATTTTCCCCATCTTGAGTCTAGACAATCAAAAAATTATAAAGTAAGCCCTAATTTGTAGCTTTTGCGGAGTTCTGAGATATAAATGTTCACCTGCAAAATTTAATAATCACCTCTGGTAGAGCTGGCTTCAGTTGGTTCCAATACACTCCTACCTATAGTCCTGTGGGCATCATGGATCTTGGAACTGAAGGTCCTCCAGCACCTGCCCCAGTCCAGTTCTATCTCCAAGCACAGTAATACAACATGAAAAAAATTCTGTAACTAAAGCCAAAAGTCTGGTTTTAATCCTGACTCTATCACTGACCAGTTTAGCTGTGTGCCCTTGGCCAAGTCACTTCCTCACTACGGGCTTCAGTTTACTCATTTGCCAAAAGAAGAAGGAGAACTGGCCTGGTCCTTCCATTTCCTTTTTGTTTGTTTTGTTTTGTTTTAGGCAATTGGGGTTAAGTGACTTGCCCAGGGTCACACAGCTAGTTAAGTGCCAAGTGTATGGTTTGAGGCCGGATTTGAACTCAGGTTCTGATCCTTCCATTTCTGAGAGTCATGGAAACCAGTAGAGACTAACAATCCCTTTCTCCTTTCCTTCCTCTTTATACAAGTAAGAAGACTGAGGCCCTGAGGGAGGCAAGGACTTACCCAGGATCCCATACTTTGTCAAGGGAAGAGACTGAACCAGATTCCCTGTTCTCTGACTCCTGCTTTCCAGCACTGGGCTCTTTCTCCTACACTTTCCCATTTCTCCAAGTCTCCTGTGCTTACTTACCTGTCTTAATGCCCAGTAAGTCCCTGAGATCACCTATCCCTCCTGCTTTCTGACTCCAGACCCAACCTAATCCCCAACCCACAGGACAAAACCCACCAGGAGCTACTAGAATTCTCAGCTCTAGCCCTATTCCTGTCCCTGTTCTGGACCAAACCTTATCTTACCCAAAGCATCAGGCTCATCTCAGACTTCTCTTCTCCCCATTGGATATTTTATGGAGTGTCCCAGGGAAGGGAGAAGAGGGAGGGGTGAAGTTCAGGGTGAATCTAGTCAGTCTGGAGAGGGAATGAGGCCCAGCTGAGGGATGGGAGGAAGACTTTCTTAATTCGAGGGTCTCCCCTCTAATGACAGTTGCCCATTTGTCCTGTCTACAGACTGCATCATTTTTTGCATTTTATCTTCACCATTAGACATTGAGTTCCTTGAGAGCAGAGATTGTGGCCCCAGTGCTTAGCACACTATCTGACACATAGTAGGCTTTTAATAGGAGTAGACGCATGCTAAGCATTTCCCAGACTTCTAGGGTCTAAAGGCCTTGGTGCTGATTCAGTCCTGGGTTTTCTTCTGTGTTATTAGTGTGTGAGGGGGGAGGTTGGGACAGAGAAGATGGCAAAGCCTCTTGGGCAGGGACTTGGCTTCATTACTCTCCAATTCCATTCTTTGAGTTTTAAAATCCAAAATGGATCTGCCTATAGGGAGGCATGGACACCTGAATTTTATATGCCTCTGTTAGACAAAAGCTTAGAGACTTAGGAGTATAAATGTGCCTTCAGGAAAAGTCCCTCTCAGCTCCTTTCTTATTGAGGTTGGCAAGGGCCAATGTCTATCATGCATAATATACTGGTTGCTGGACGCCCCTTTTCTAATTCTCACTTGTTTGTTCAGTCATTTTACACTCGTGTCCAACTCTCCATGACCTCATTTGGGGTTTTCTTGGCAGAGATACTGGAGCAGTTTGCCATTTCCTTCTCCAGCTCATTTTACAGATGAGGAACTGAGGCAAACAGGGTAAAGTGACCTGCCCAGGGTCACACAGCTAGGAAGAGTCTGAGGCTGGATTTGCAATCATGAAGATGAGTCTTCCTGAGTTCAGGCCCAGCAACCTGACCACTGTGCCACGGATATTAATAAGTAATAAAAATGACTCCTACCTCCTACATTCATACCATCTTTTCATTTTATGTTTCTCCAGCTATGATTTCATTGAAATTTCACAAATAGTTCTCTGAAGATGGTAGTGGAGATGTTAACTCTCTTTCTCTCTTTTTTTGTGTGAGGTTTACTCATGATCCCAGCCAACTACTTGAGTTTTAAACTCTTTGTTAAGGTAAAAGTCTGCTTCCAATGTGGAGAATGTACTGTCCCAAGCTTTGGAGGTTTGTATAGCTGTTTTCAGAGATACTTCTAGGGACCTGTAAATTTTCAGTTCTTCCAAGGTGGTATGATAAGGGGTGAGGTGTTTACTCTTTTCCTGGCCTGAGCTCTGGTCTTTGAGTGACTGGCCACAAGCAGTCTTTTCTCTCTTGGAACTGTGAGAAGAGTTTCCTCTCCACTACCACTACAAGTTCTACCACGCCAGCGCTCCTTCTCATCCCAGGACCGCCACCCAGAACTGTGACCCAGATCCAAGCACGGGCAAAGCAAGAGATTCCTGCCTCAGCACCGCGAAGAGATCCCTGCAGTCCACCTCTGATCAGCCACTTGATTCCCCGTCTGTCTATGGACCGGAAGCTCAGGACACAGCCACTGCCCTGGCAACTGTGCTCTGCACTCTAAGCTCTGGAACTGGCTCTGTCCTAGCTCTTCTCTCACCGCAAAAACAGACTTTTCTCACTGACCTGAGTTACTTTGGCATTTCTAGATTGAGGAGTCTGGAAACCACCACAGCTGCCTGTGATTCAGTACTCTGAGACCTGCTCTAGGTTCACTGTGTCCTGCGTGCCCACCCAGTAATGAGCTCCTCTCCATGCCCGGCAAGATATGCCTTTCTGATCAACCATCCAGGCTGTCTTGGGCTGGAAAATTGTTTTACTCTGTATTTTTGTGGGTTCTGCTGCGTTAGAATTTGTTTAGAGCCATTTTTATGGGTATTTGGAGGAGTTTGGGGGAGAGCTCAAGCAAGTCACTGCTTTCACAGCGCCATCTTGGCTCCGCCCCCTTGTTAACTCTTACAGATGGGGAAACCAAAACCCAGAAATGCTCCTGCTTGAGAGGAGGTTGGGACTGGAATGCAGGGCTCCTGGAAGCTACACACACACACACACACACACACCACACACACACACACACAAACACAAACACACCACTCAAATCCCAACAGAACCTCATTGATTTACTCCCTGAGCTCTGGATAAAGGTTTGGTAAATGGGAGACATAGTGAGTCACAGTATCAAGAGGGGGATGGGAAACTGAGCTGGGAAGGCTGAGAGCCAGGGTCTTTTTCTCAACATTACAGAGGCAAATGGATAAGAGCAAAGGAGAAGGAGGCAGAGCCAAGATGCCGGAGAAAAGGCAGCAACTCACCTGTGCTCTCCCTGAAACCCCTCAGAACACATATAAATAATGCCGTAAAGCAATTTCTGAAGTGGCAGAATCCACAAAAGGATAGGGTGAAATAATTTTCCAGCCAAAGACAACTTAGAAGTTTGTCAGGAAAGGTTTGTCACAACAAGGTGAGAGTGGAGCAAGGTCCAGCACAGACTGTGCCACCCTAGATCAAGCACGTTGTTGCAATGAGGAAAAAGCCAAGGAGTCAACACTCTCACTCTCCCTTACCCACCTGAATCCTATCTGCCCTCCCTCCCACTGGCCTATTCATGGGCTAGTCAGTGAGGTAGTGTAAAGAGTGCTGTCCATGGTAGTTGTAAAGCAAATAAGAGATCCCTATTCTCTCAGAGCTACTTGAAAGCATTTAGAAAGGTCATGAAATCTAAGGAAATAATGGCTAATACTAACAAGTAATACTCATATAGTGCTTTGATGTTTGCAAAATGAAAACCTTAATTGTCTCCTATCCTGAACTGCTTATTTTACAGATAAAGACACTGGAGCCAAGGGAGGTTAGGTGACTTGTCCAAGGTTGCAGAGTCAATGAACAGTGAATTCCAGTGTCCCCAGAATTCCAATCTAGCTTGCTCCCCATTGCATCACAGCAATGCTCTCCAGGGAAACTGAGGCCTAGAGTGTAAAAGGGAATTAACCAAGCCCACAGAATTAATAACTACCTGAGCTAAGACCTGAACCCACATTTTCTGACTCCAAATCCAAGGTTCTTTATACTAGACCACACTGCCTCCCAGATGTCTAGATGTGGTCAGTGGCCACTAGAAAAATCTGTTAATCACTTTGCTGATTGTATACCCTGCTCTATCATGGAACACATATGTCACTGGGACATCTATTCAGCAAGAGTGAATGCCATGATAGCCCCTGGACAAAATGATCAGATAAGTATCCTATGCTCTATTTCTCCTAGGGTTCTACCACCACAGATCATTCTCTTGGCACCCAGAAATCCAGAAGTTGATTATGCAGCTGTATTTGGAGGAAAGAATAGCTACAGGCTAGAGAAGAAATCAAGTTTGGATAGGTATTTCATGGAAAATGGGCTGGTTGATATGGACCACCCTACCTCATTTGCTAAAGAGAAAGAACTCTGTGTACAGAAAGTGCCATGTAAGTGTCTTCTCTTGCTGATTTGCCCTAGGACCCTGGGCAAGATCCTAAAACTTTGTGAACCTCTTTCCATTTCTTTTCTGTGAAATAGGGGCAACTTTTCCTATGGTACCTTCATTACAGGGTCCTTACCATGGGCAAATGGTGGAAAACACTTGGCAACACTGAAAGCTCCATAAAGATGACAAACAGTATTTTGGTTATGGTTAACTAGGAGCACTGGGTCAAAATAGCCAAGACTCAAACGCAAAATGCTGTTTGGTGTCTAGAGCCTCTCATAAGCCAGCCCCCTCTGTCCTTCCCAATCTTCTTACACTTGCCTCATAGGAAATTCTCTTTGACCCAATGACTCTGGCCTCTTGCTTCTCTTGGACTGAGAAAATTCATCTCTTTAACTCTGGGCATTTTCTCTGGCTGTTTCCCATGCCTGAAACACTCACTTCCTGTCTCTGCCTACCAACTTTTCTGGCTTCCTTTAAATCTCAGTGAAAATCCTATCTTCTACAGGAAACCTTTTCCAAATCCACTTAATTCTAGTGTCTTTCCTGTTTTAATTATTTCCTATTTATCCTGTGGGGTGTAAGGGGTGTTCAAGAAAGACTAGCACCTCTGGTGTGAGAGCTTACCAAGGCTTTTTCAGGGCTGTTCAACCACTTGGTGTCTACCTGGCACTCAACTTTCACCTATGGCTATGAGAAATTTTAGCATGAGCAGTGGCTATATCCCAGTGCACTGTATTGGCAGATGTGCTAAACCAGGTTGAGAGTACACAATGGTCTTCAAACCCATTTGGTGAGTTAGGGCAGTGGCTACCCCAAGCATGTGAAGACTTCTCCTAGCAGAATGAAAACAATCTGTTCCAATGGCCATAAAGGCAGCGGAAGCAGGTTCTGTGGAGCACTTAGAGCTTGGTCAGATATCAAAGACACCAAGGTCATCCACTGCATCCTGGAACATCAACAACAATCTTCATTTTTGGCCTGCCACTGGACTCAGATGACTCTGGAAGAAAACACTGAGGCTGACTATTTCACTTAAATCCTAACTGGTCCTCTTCAAAAATGAAGGACAAACAACAATTATCCTGTGAATAGCTAGTATGCACCTATTTGTTTGCTTCTTGTCTCCCCCAGTAGATTGTGAACTCTTTGAGGGCAGAGACCATTTTCCAATCTTTTTTAGATCCCTAGTGCTTAGCATGGCACCTGGCACATTTGTTGATAGACACACACACATCAATATAACGTTTATATATGTTACACACACACACATGTACACATACCATAGGACAGATAGTACATTGGACTTGGAATCAGGAACACTCATCTTCACAAGTTCAAATCTGACCTTAGACACTTACTAACTATATGACTCTGAGCAAGTCATTTTACCCTGTTTGCCTTACTTCCCCATCTATAAAATAAGCTAGAGAAGGAAATGGCAAGCCACTCATGATATTTGCTAAGAAAACCCCAAAATGGGGTCTCAAAGAGGTGGACACAACTAAAACAATTGGACAACAACACAATGCTATATTCTGTGTTTGGGTACTAGTCTGTCAGAAACAGTGTTAAAAAGGAAGATCATTCCAGATCAAAGTGATTTGTAGCTGGGATAATTATCCATACATGCACTGTCTCACTCCTACCTACTTCCATGTCTATTCCCCCACCTCCATGCCCTCAAACATGTCCTCTACCCATGGGGTATTTGTGTTAACATAGTAACCTTGAACAAGAAACAATTATCTGTTAAAATACATTTTGGGTTAACATCCCAAACAATGGTCATTATTCTGTTCCTCCATTAATAATTAGATACATAAAGCATTTATTAAGTGCTTACAATATGCCAGGCACAGGGCATATGAATATTGTACACTGGGAGCATAGATATGATAATATAATATACACTACATAAAAGCACAAAGAAATTCTTGACCCTCATGAAGCTTACATTCCAAAGAAGAAAGTGAACATAGAAAAAGGATGCTGAAAAATCATCAGGGGAGAGAAGTATTCAAATGTAGAAAAAGTGGTAAAGAGCAGGGCATCATGGGCTAGAGCAGGTCTGAAGTGATTGTGGCTGGTGTGGAGACCTCATCAAATGGAGATTCTAGGGAAGATGTTACTAGGAGAGGGAGATCCAGGCCATACTGGTCAGGGTATGATGCTACAAGAGAGGGATACCAGCCAAAGAAATGAAGAAGTCATCCTGAAAGTCTTGGGCTGAGCCCAATTTGCAATGACCAATCCTCTTATGTTTTCTTGACCTCTTCCAAAACCAAAGGGACTGCTTCCCTCAGATCAATATTTTCATCCTTTCTGAATGGCAGAAACCGTAGTACTTCAAAGAAGATCATCACCCAATCCATTCAGAAATGAAGAGTACAATGATTTTTTAAATTTTTAAATAATGTCTTTAATTTTTAAAGCACAACTTTTAACATTATTTTTAGCTCCAAATTCTCTCGCTTCCCAACCCTATTTTCAAAATCCCTTCCAGTATTTTTCATTTTCCTTTTCTGTCACGTTGAGTGCAAAGTGATACCTCAGAATTGTTTTAATATGAATTGCTCTAATTATTAGTGATTTAGAGCATTTTTTTATATGACTATTGATAGCTTGGATTTCTTCCTCTAAAAACTCCCTATCTATATCCTTTAACCATTTAGAAATAGTTGAATGCTCTTATTCTTGTACATTTGACCCAGTTCTCTATATATTTTGGAAATGGGATCTTTATCCAAGTAATTTGCTGTAAAGATTCTTCAGTTTCTGGTTTGTCTTCAAATATTACTTGCATTACTTGTGTTAATGTAAAAACTTTTAAATTGCATATGATCAACATTATCCATTTTGCCTCCTAGGAACCTCTGTATATCTTATTTGATCAAGAAAGCTTCTCTATCTATAGACCTAACAAGTAATTTCTTACCTGTTCCCCTAATTTGTTTATAATACCATCTTTTCTGTCCAAATCATGTAGGCCCTTTGAGCTTATCTTATATTTTGTGAGATGTTGGTCTATGCCTCATTTCTGCCAGACTACTTTCCAGTTTTACTCACAGTTTTTGTCAAATAGTGAGTTCTTGCCCCCAAATCTGGGATCCTTGGGTTTATTAAATACTAGGTTTTGTGTTCACTTGCTTCTCCATGTTGTACATCTAATCTGTTCCACTGATTGATCTTTCGACTTATCACCCACTAGCAACTTCTTTGGATCATTGCATCTTTGTGATAGAGTTTGAGGTCTGGTCCTGCTAGACCTTCTCCCTTGTGTTTATTTCATTGATTCCCTGATATTCTTGTTCCATTGTTCCTCCAAATGGATTTTGTTGTTATTTTTTCTAGCTCTACAAAGTAATTCTTTGGTAGTATGATTGGTATGGCACTGAATAAGTAAACTAATTTAGATACTATTTTCATATTTGTTGTATTGGCTTGCTTACCTATGAATGATTAGTATCTCTCTAATTAAAGATGTTTTCATTGGGGTGAAGTCTACTTTTAACCCATTCATGTAGCTTCCCTGTGTGTCAGCAGGTAGATTTCCAATTATTTTATACTATGTACAGTGACTTTAAGAATTTCTTCTTTTCTCTCTTCCCATTGGATTTTATTCATAATATACATAAATGCTGATCATTTTTGTGGATTGAGTTTACATCCTGTAACATTGATGAAGTTTCTAATTGTTTCAATTAGTTTTTTAGTGAACTCTCTAGGATTCTGTAGCTAAATCATGTTGCAATAAGAATTTGCAACAAAGAGAAACTTAAGCACAGGGTTCTTAGCATGATCAATTTATTAGCAAGATTAGCAGTTGACAGTAAATGGTATCCAAGGTTCTTCAGTAGCAAAGGATAAAACTGACAGACAGAACAACTCTTTTAGAGCATTTGCACAGTTACTGTTGTTAAACATAAACATATCTCACTTCTGATTGGTTGGTATCCTTTTGCATCAGTTCCTCACCAGGAGGCGTAACATTATGATCAGATTGACCCACATCCTCTAGAAAGTGCTGTGGTTGGCAATCTCCAGAGCAGGGTACAGGAGGCTTGTCATTTCCATGCTAGTACTTAGAGATGGGTTTAGAAACTTTGTGATGAGAAATCACTGAGAAAAGGAAAACAAGGAATGAGGCACCTAGAGTTGTTTTCCTCTGTTGCTAATATTTTCAGGCAGCCAGCAGGATGTGGGTGATAAGCTATAAGCACAGAGTAGGCAATTGAAGCTACAGGCTTAAGGAGCTCAAACACACACAATGAGGGATCCCAACCAATACAAAGTAGATTCATTAAGCCTAATGAAATAGACTGAAAGTTACAGTAACAGCAATATTGTTTTAAGGACGAATGAGTGACTAAATCATTTTGATCATTATAAATATAAAAATTAAAAAGGACATATGAAGAAAGATGCTGTCTGCATCCAGAGAAAGACCTGATAAATAGAATAGGTATAGAATAATTTTACATATATGTATGTGTGAGTGTATGTGTTTGTGTGCTTGTGTGTGTGTGTGTGTGTGTGTGTGTGTATGCCTATTTGTTTCTAATGATAGGCATCTCTAGGGCAGCAGGGAGTGAAGAAAATAAAGGGGGGAAAAGAACTTTATGTGATAACTCTGTTGTATATTTAGTGGGAATAGCAAGTTGTACATTCCTTCAATTTTTTTTAACGTTGTTGCTGTAGCTAGCATTTCTAGTAAAATATTGAATAATATTGAAATAATAATCCAGTTTTTGTTTTGTCATTGAAGTGGTCAATTAAACTCAGTAGTTCCACAATTTTCATCCAGTCCTGTGTTCCTGGTAGAAAAACACTTTCATCACAGTGTATGATCTTTGGGACCTGTTGTTGTAGTATCCTTGCTAGCATTTTATTTAAAACAGTTGCATCAGTATTTATCAGGAAAATTGCTCTATAGTTCCCCCCCCCCCGTATTTTGGCTTTCTCTGATTTCAGTATCAAGACCATATTTGTGTCATAGAAGGAATTTGATAGGGCTCTTTTTCCACCTATTTTTTCAAACAGTTGAGATATTTGGTAAAATTCTCTTGTCAATCCATCTGCTCCTGGGGTTTTTTGCTTAGGGAGGAATGCTGCTATTTTCAGACCTAGTTGGGGGAGGGCAGTAATAAGGACCTACAGGGATCACTGGTCTTTGTGGCTACAGGAGAGCAGGGAATGGGGTCATAGTTCCAGGGCCAAGAGGAGCACTAATAATTGCAACTTCAGGGGATTAGGGCCCTTCCTGGGTAAAGCACGGAGCACAGACCAAGAGGGCAGTGACCACACCTCTCCCTTATCATACCACCTTGGAAAGAAGAGCTGACCTCCTAAATTGTCTCAGTCTGGAAAAAATCTCACTCTGACCTTTTGTTGGCTCTGCTGCTTCAAAATTTGATTTGAGTTGTTATTTTGAAGGTTTTTTGGGAGAGTTCCATTTGGGTGGCTGCCTCTCTTCTGCCATCTTGGTTTCCTCGTTACATTTATAAAGCTTTTCTTTAGTATGAATTCTCTGGTGTTTATTAAGTCTTGAGGTTCTACGGAAGGCTTTCCCACATTCCTTACACTTATAAGGATTCTCTCTAGTATGAATTTTCTGGTGAATGACAAGGCTTGACTTTTGAGTGAAGGCTTTCCTACATTGACTACATTTGTAAGGCTTCTCTCCATTATGAGTCATCATATGTGTAAAAAGCATTGAGCTCTGACTGAAGGCTTTCCCACACTCATTACAGTTATAAGGCTTCTCTCCAGTATGAACTCTCTCATGTTTGAAAAGGGTTGAGCTGCGAGTATAAGCTTTCCCACATTCAATACATTTATAAGGCTTCTCTCCAGTATGAATCCTCTGGTGAATGAAAAGGTTTGAGCATTGAGTGAATGCTTTCCCACATTCATTACATTTATAAGGCTTCTCTCCAGTATGAATCAAGATATGCTTACAGAGCACTGAGCACTGACTGAAGGCTTTCCCACATTCAGCACATTTATAAGGCTTTTCTCCAGGGTTGAATTTTCTGGTGGATGAAAAGGCTTGACTTTTGAGTGAAGGATTTCCCACATTCACTACATTTGTAAGGCTTCTCTCCAGTATGAGTCATCATATGCCTAATAAGGATTGAGCTCTGACTGAAGGCTTTCCCACACTCATTACAGTTATAAGGCTTCTCTCCAGTATGAATCCTCTGGTGTTTCAAAAGGTGCGAGCTCTCAGTGAAGGCTTTCCCACATTTATTACATTTATAAGGTTTCTCTCCACTATGAATCTTCTGGTGCATTTTAAGTTTTGACATTTCAGTGAAGGCTTTCCCACACTCCTCACATTTATGAGGCTTCTCTCCAGTATGAATCCTCTGGTGTTTAACAAGGTCTGATCTCTGAATGAATGTTTTCCCGCATTCATTACATGTGAAAGGCTTCTCTCCAGTATGAATCCTCTGGTGAGTGAGAAGGGTTGACTTTTCAGTGAAGGATTTCCCACACTCCTCACATTTATAAGGCTTCTCTCCAGTATGAATCCTTTGGTGCTTAACAAGGTCTGATCTCTGAATGAATGTTTTCCCACATTCATTACATGTGAAAGGCTTCTCTCCAGTATGAATCCTCTGGTGAGTGAAAAGGGTTGACTTTTCAGTGAAGGATTTCCCACATTCATTACAATTATAAGGCTTCTCTCCAGTATGAATTCTCTCATGTTTGGAAAGGGTTGAGTATTGAGTGAATGCTTTCCCACATTCATTACATTTATAAGGCTTCTCCCCAGTATGAATCCTCTGGTGAATGAAAAGGGATGAGTTTCGAGTATAGGCTTTCCCACATTCATTACATTTATAAGGCTTCTCTCCAGTATGAATCAACATATGCTTACAAAGCACTGAGCACTGACTGAAGGCTTTCCCACATTCAGCACATTTATAAGGCTTTTCTCCAGAATGAATTTTCTGGTGATCCAAAAGGTTTGAATTTCGAGTGAAGGCTTTCCCACATTTATTACATATATAAGGTTTCTCTTCACTATGAATCTTCTGATGTGTTGTAAGTTTTGACATCACACTGAAAGCTTTCCCACACTCCTCACATTTATAAGGCTTCTCTCCAGTATGAATTCTCATGTGCCTAACAAGGTTTGAGTTTTTAGTGTAGGCTTCCCCACATTGATTACATGTATAAGGCTTCTCTCCAGTATGAACCATCTGATGTAAAATAAGGCTTGAGCTCCCAGTGAAGGCTTTTTCACACTTGTCACATTTATAGGGCTTCTCTCCAGTATGAATTTTCTGATGCCTAACAAGGGTTGAATTTCTATTGAAGGCTTTCCCACAATCATTACACTTAAAAGGCTTCTCTCCAGTATGAATCCTCTGATGTACACTAAGTGTTGACACCTCAGTAAAGGCTTTCCCACACTCCTGACATTTATAAGGCTTCTCTCCAGTATGAATTCTCTGGTGCCTGATAAGAATTGAGTTTTTGAGACAGGATCTCCCACATTCACTACATTTATATGGTTTCTCTTCACTATGAATCATCTGATGTGAAGCATGGGTTAAGGTCTGATTAAAGGCTTTCCCACAGTCATTACCTTTATAGCACTTCTTTCTAGAATGAATTCTCTGGTGTTGAATAAGTCTTGACTTGTGAGTAAATGTTTGCCCACATTGTTTACATTTTATAAGCCTTCTCAAGAGCATGGACTTTCTGATGCTCAGAAAAGTTTGAATATGGAGGGAAGATTTTCCCACATTCCTTATAGTTATAACATTTGTCTCTAGTTTGAATCTTCTGGCCTTTGGTGATTTTTCTTACATCATTCTCCTGTTTTTCTTCCTCACTTTTTACCTGGCTCTCACTTTCACCCCATTTCTCACAAACAGAGAAGTAATCAGCAACACTGCCAAGTCTTTCAATCTTCACTCCATGGGAAGATCCTTCCTCTGGCTCATTTTCAGTCTTGATCTTGGACTCCAAAGCTGCAAAACAGTAATATAAAGTACAAACATCTGATATATGTCTAATATAAAGTGCATATGTTCTGAGCTTTGAGAGTGGAAACTAGGGATGAAGTGATGCAACCGTGAATGGTACTCAGAGGAAAGGAGCACCTGGCAGAACCATTTTATGAAAGCTTCTTTCAGAATCTTTAGAAATATGGAGAAATAATATCTTTCCCAGTCTAATAGACTTTTCTCTGTTTGAAAGTATTTAGAAGGCCAAGAACACGTCTTTTTTTTTTTAAAGGGATATTGGATAAAGGTAGAATCCAATCTTTCAACAAGTTTATTCTTTCTATAAAAAAAAATCATTGTATTGGCCATTCCCTCAATGGACTGTTATATGATCTACCCAGAATCAGTCTCCTCCTTTCCATTCAGAAGAGCATATTTATTTGTCAGAGGCAGGAGGTCCAGAAAGCTTGAGGGCATTGGACACTTCAAAAGAACCTCAGAACAAGACTCCCAGAACTCCTTCTCAACCTCTGCCCCAGTGGCCTTCTCACAGTAGCAGTGTGCCCCTACCCTTAAGACCACCATCTCTTTGACTGGTGAGTTCTTCCCCAGGACTTCTATTTAAGGAAGCACCCACACCAGCAGTAGTTATTTCAAACCTGGACACCCCTGTGTACCTCTCCTTCTTACTCTGATATGGACACTCCCTCTCCCCCAATATTTCAGCAACCTTTTTGTGTATGGACTGCTTTTTTCCGAATGTAAGGTACTTAACCACTAGGAATGTTCTTTGTGCTTACACATTTATTCTCCAGGTAAAGTATTTTTAGTCCTAATTCCTGGCACTTCATAAATGCTTTAAGAATCTATTTGTCTATCATGGGCAGGACAGAGTAATGACTGTTATTTGGGAATTTTAATCCCAAAATGTATTTTAACATATTTTATTTTATTCAAGATTACTATAAATGTTACCACAAATATTCTTGAGTAGATGGATATGTCTGAAGGCATGAGTATGGGTTGGATAAACCATGCTAGTTTGAATGGTTTTCAGTGAGCTAAAATTGCTTTCTTGTAGAATGACATTAGATTGAAAAATATTTTTCCTGGCATGGTAGACTTGTGCATGAAATATAGAGTGATATGTAGATACAGATACATTATTCTCTATATACATTGAGGATATACATGTCCATATATGTCTGTATATCTCTCTGTATAGCTACCTATTGTATGTAAATACAGTATATATATCTATGTGTATATACATATGTAATACACACGCATTAATATGTATGTATATGCATCTATGTGTGTTTGAGTATATTCCAAGAGATGAATTCTTAGTCTCCTTCTCAGCAGTTTGAACCTATTGGTACTAATTAATCACAAGAAAAGAAATGATATCTGATATGTTTGTGGGGCTTTTAAGTTTTGCCAAATATATTCCTTCATAATATGATGTTAACAGCCCCATGATCAAGGTACTATGGAAAAATGCTTTATCATATCATTTGGAAAATGTATTAATTATTATACTGTTTAAATCTCACTTTATGTGACTAGAAATTGTTTGAACCCAGAATATCTCCCTGACCTCAGTAACTCCTGGAAATGCAGGAGATGGTGGCAACCAATTTTAGGTTCCCTCACATCTTGGCTCCACCCCACTCAACCAGGTCTTCTTTTGGGTACACCCAAGGTTATGTTTTGGTTTTGCCAAAATTTTATTGATGTTTCTACTTCCTGATGTGATATTTTCAAAGCTTTGAGAGAAATAATGGCTTATTTGCTCTTTTGGAAGAGAAGTATTCCTGAGAGTGGCAAGCAGAGGAGAAAGTTAGCTCAACCTTCGAAGACTGAGGTCTTCAAATGAGGATAATAGAAAAAGGGGGAAGTCTGAACCACCCCATATCATTGGTTATTAATAATAATTTGTCTTACTGATATCCATCTCAATCTACCTTGCTTTCAAGCTGACCTCTTTGCACGTTCATGCCAGTACTCTCGTCTAAATCCTATAACTGTAAACTTTCCAGAGCCTAGATGAAAGGGAGCCATACCCTTTCTAGCTCCCTCTCCTTTATCAAATGACCTAGTAAGTTTCTTTCTAAAACTCTTTTAGATTTGAGGATGTGTTCTTGTGAACAACAGAACCATTAGAAAAGGTATCCCTATTTTACAGAAGAGGAATAAATGTCAGTTTCACGGTCTTCTCGAGGGTCACAGGCTACATTAACAATAAATACTGTTCACTTGGTGTTTTCCATGTACAAAAGTGTTTTCTGCCCAGTGTTCTGGGGAAGGATGATTGTTTTTCCATGGGACACCCATCTGAATCTGAGTTCTTCTCCAGCTTACAGCTCTTCCTCCTATCAGCTTCTGGAACTTAGGACACCAAAGAGACATACGTGTGGAGGGAAGGCCGAAGGGGGAAACAGAGTATGGAATATTCATCACAACCATTCTGTGCCAGGAAGACTATCTTGGCATTTACTCTTGCTGAATGAATAACCTGGTGATTTGTGTGTTCAGTGACAGAGCAGGCTACTTACATCAGCAAGTAACCAACAGATTTCTGTAGTTGGCAGGCTATACGCTAGATCACCTAAGGGAGGGAATACAGCGGGAAAAGAGAGGAGGACACCAAGAAAGAACCCCCAGACAGCCACGTTAAGTTGTCATTACATGAATGAAGATTCAGTAAAATACACTGAATGGAAGGAAGGGATGGAAGGAGCATTTATTAAGCACCAATTGTGTGCCAGGGACTGTGCTAAGGAAGTCGTTTTCAGACATTATCTCAACCTGGTAGGTGCTTTAATGATCCTTTTTCCCATTTGAGGAAACTTATTTCCTTATAAATCTTTTCTCAAGACTCTAAATCCCTGCTTCTTCAAACACTCCTCACAAGACAAGGAATCAAAGCCCTTCGGCATCCTGGCTGCCCCCTTCTGGACACTCCAGCCAATGGTTGTCTTTTTTATGCACAGACCCAGAACTGAGCACAATATCCAGACGGGCTCTGAGGAGGGCAGACGACATGGGCTCTATTGCTGCCATCTGCCTGGAAGGAAGGTGTGCCCCTTGCCATGCATGCCCAGGCAGCAGGAGCTTTTTTTGGCTCCCTTTCACTGATGACTGATGACTTCCATCGAGCTTGCAGCCCCAGAGAGTTTGAGGAACACTTGCTGTCTTTGACCCTCTGTTGAATTTTATTCAATTCTCCAGCACATGCTGATCCTTTTGGATCCTGAGCCTGTCATCTGGTATATTAGCTATACTCCCAGCACTGTGTCATGTGCAAGCTCATTGAGCATACCGTGATTGCCTTTTTCCAAATTGGAGAGAAAAACAAAATCATACAAGACAATAAAAGAAAAGAAGAGTGGGTCAGTGAAGCATTTTTTGAAGGCACAAAACAAAACAGAAGAATATCCAGAAAGAAACACTGCCATAAAAATTGTAACATTCTTTTAGTAGAGAAGGGAACAGTCCAGGGAGAAAAACAGCCATCAAAATAGAGACACTTTTTTAGGTACAGGAAGGAATTGAAAGATGTCAAGATAGAAACACAGACAGAGAAATTGAAGCATTATTTTAGGTAGAGATAGGAACAGAAGGATATCCAGACAAAAACACAGCCAGAGAAATTAAAACATTCTTTTTAATAGGGAAGGGAACAAAAAAGTTCAGATAGAAACACTACTTGAGAAATTCAAGGATTCTTTTAGTATAGAAGGGAACTGAAGGAATTTAAGCAGAAGCAAGGACAGAGAAAGTGAGTCTTTCTTTTTTAAAGCTACAGAAGGAAATCGAGAAAGAAATGTAGCCATAGAAATTGCAGTATTCTTTTAGGTACAGAAATTTCAGGAAGAAAGTCATAGAAATTGAAGCATTTTTTAACTACAGAACAAAAGTAGAAAGTCCAATGAAAAACACAGACACAGAAATTATAGTTTTTCTTTTTAATGGATAGAGGGGAACAGAAGAAAGATCAGCTACAAACACAGACATACAAATTGAAAGTATTTCTTTTTTACTCCAGAAGGAAGTTTTGATAGAGACACTGCTGTGAAAGATACACGATGACCTCATCATTTGGGTGTTGGAAATCTTTGGCACTTTCCCTTTCAAAGCAGGACCTTCCCCAACTCCCCAGTCTTGGAGGTTAACTCTAAAGGAGGAACAGGAAATGGGAACCTAGTACCAGCAGAAGCTTACTGGATTCTAGTCTATGTGAAAGCCTTTGGGATGGTAAACAGAATGGAGAAGCATACCTTCTGAAAATGGGGACACAGGAGACCTCTCAGAGAGCAGTTTCCAGTGAGCACAAGCAGTTTCTAGCCCCCTGTGAGAGGGGGCTCTAGACCCTGCAGTTTTTATTCAGAGTCTATGCTCAAAGTCCTCTGGTTTCCAAATCCATCCAATTAATTTCATGAGCAGAACTGAGTACCTACCTTAATCAGGCTCCTGTCCTCAGGCAGCTCCCAACATGCCCCTCCTGTCAGTACCCAATGCAGAAGAATTAATAAGAAAAGCAAAATTTTCCCAAAAGGTTACCATTAGAGTCTGGACTCTTGGAGTTCTCCATTGGGTTTCTGAGACAGGTCAAATTTCAGATCTTCCCTTCGACTTCAGCCTTACCCACCTGGGAAGGTCTTGGTTACAGAATATGACTGCTTCTGAATCAAACCTCTGACTATTCCCAATCCAAGCTCCTCTGCAGACACTCAGGTACAGAGGGAACCTGATGCCCACCTGAGGTTCACAGATACTTAAAAAGTGAGCCCTACAATGGACATTCTCTCAAGACTTCTGATAGGGTA